CCCCCCAAAGGCTGAGATGTTCTGGTCCATGAAATATATACATCATAAGCAAGCTGAAAGCCAATTGCATGCTGCATGCAAGTGGTAAGCTAGAATTTTGGGGAAAGTAACTAAGCGCCACAGGATCTCTTCACATCCGGAGGCCAACTTTACCGTTGTGATTAACCCAGCCAGCGGCCCCGGGCCCGATGCCCTGCCCGATGCTAATTATACCCGCGAGATTCCCAAGCTCGACTCTTATGACAACGTGCGTCTCTTGGGTTATGTTCCTACAACCTGGGCTAAACGCAACATCTCGGCCGTGCGTCGCGACATCGAAACCTACGCAGAGTGGCCGACCAACAGTTCGAACCCTAAGCTTGCGGTTCGGGGTATATTCTTTGACGAAACACCCCAACAGTATGATGCCGATGCGTTGTCATATTTGCAAGGGCTCAGCTCATTCGTGAAAGGCCTTTCTGGCCTTGGTCCAGACAACTATGTATGTGTGACCTTTCTCTTTCACCCCCTCTGTAATTTTTATTACCGCACCGTATTCATGGTAATTTACATGGGTATCAACTTTTTTCGACATCGAAGATTGGTACACACCTCAGGCCCCCCATATCCCTTCCCCCACTCTCTGCATCCCCCCCTTTTTTTTTTTTTTTTTTTCTGCCTTCTTGGACAGTCAATATGGCCCATGTCTGTCTTCGATGGCGCTAGGTTCTCTTATGGCTTCTGACTACAACCCCGACAATCTCATTGGGTACCTGTGGCCAATTTTGATGCTAATAGTGGCTGTCTAGATTGTCCATAACCCGGGAGGAGTTCCAGACTCTCGTTACATGTCTTCAGCTGACTCGACTGTCGTATTCGAAGAGGCTTATGACACCTTCAACGAACGTAATGGCACGAAGCAGTTCGACGTTCTGCCGAAGAGTGACCGCGATCGCGGTCAGCTCTGCATCGTGATCCACTCCGTTCCGGACGGGGTTGAAGGTTCGGAACTTCGTGCTCTTGTCAAGAAGCTTCGCAAGACCGCCGATGAGATTTTCATTACCCACCTGAGCACAGACTACTATGCCAGCTTTGGGGGCAAGTGGGGCGAATTTGTCGATTGGATGGCTAAATAATTCATTCCTACGGGCGGCGCTTTTCGAGTATAGCTGATGCAACATTGCTTATGATCAGGGCTCGATTGGCGTTGACTGATAATATATGCGCCGGCGCTCTCTTTTGTCTCATGGAAAGGATTGACTAATCAACTTACGACCTGTCTAGACTGTATGCACGTTTATATCCTGTATGATGATTCAAGATGTTATTTGACTTTGGCCGTTGTGACTATGAAATGATACCTCGACTTGCGATAGAGTTTACGATCGTCAAGATTTCCTTTTTGTTTTGTCTTTCGGTTTCCCGTGCTCGAAACTTCCCCCCCGATGGTAATGTATTGTCATGGTACTTTTGGAACCACGAACGCGGTAATTTTCATCCGCAGTTGATACGTATTCTTGAGCCCTAAGGCCAAGAGACTCGGTCAAGGTCCGCCTCCAAGAAACAGCGGAGTCCCCCGTCCGTTCATGTTGGTCATAATTCGAGCCTGGTTCAAACTCACTGCACCTGCATTGTCGTCCATGCAGTTAATTATACATTACATTATCATTACCAATGTTGTTGCTCTCTTATGAACACCACCCTTAGTTGTGCACCATGAGGTCGGTTCTGTGAAACCCCAGGTAGCTCGAAATAGAAGCCGTACAGTAAGGGCTACCCCGTGCTTGATGTGGCCGGCTGCAATAAGTGTGACACAGTCGGTTTCATGAGCGGGCCAGTGAATTTGGGCCCGTGAACTATCTATGGAGAGGTCGCAAATACCCTATGAGCGAGAGAGGATCTGACTCCTAGTCGGGTGGAGGAGGAGGGGGAAGGGAGAGGGGAGAGAGAGAGAGAAGGTCGAGGAAGTCCACCGGCTTTCCAGTTTCGGCGACCAAGTGAAGCTACCGGAGAGGCGATGTGCACGGCCATCTCACCCATGGAGAACAAGTTAGCACATCCAACTATGCGATGAGCCAAGGCCCAAGATGGGCTGTAGTCGGAGACCCGGATGGAGTAGTCCGTCTTGGGAGCTGCCTTTAGCCTGTCCAGTGCATGCGTCCCATGGGTTGCGCCTAAAACCTATACAATCGGTATTGGACGGATGGGCTGTTCCTTAGGTCATGCTATTCCATGTCGCTACATCGGTTGAGGAACCTGTCTAATCATGCATGGCCGGGTCTGCTGTTTAGTAAGACATGCATCTTAGTCTCGTTGGGTGTGCTTTTTTTTTTTTGGTTCTGCGGTCAGGATTGATCAGGTCACTGTTTCTTTTCTGTGATTATTAATTATTAGTTATTTTGGGAGTTTTCTTTTTCTTTTTCTTTGTTGACGCCATGTGCTGCCTAGTGATGTATAGAATGGCCCCGATGACAACACATCCAATTCATAGAGATTCGACGCCATCTCACCGTCAGCGGGATTACTTGATGTATGTACATAACCTGTCAGATTATAAGCCGATCGTAGGTTTAATGTTGCATTCCGGAGTAATAAGGCCACGACTGATAACTTTTGTCCGGTGGAATTGAGTTATGTCATACTGTGTATAGTTCACAGTCAGGACTCTTTTCCGCTCAGGTACTGGGATCCGGAGTAATAATGATATCATGAGGGCTGAGGAGATGTAACCAAGCTTCTCCTCTGTTCTTTCTAGTTCGTCCCACCGCGCGACATACTGACGCCAGTAATTCAAGCCTCGAGGCACACCAGCCTCACCCACTTCCACATTTGGAAAGATGAAAAAAAAAAAAAAAAAAAAAAAAAAAAAAAATA